GGGCCTAGGTTGCAGCCTTGTCTTTTCCAAGCTGTGCTCTTGGAGCACTTTTCCGTTTACAGACCACCTGCAAAAGCCAGGTGCTGGACGTTTCGTCGAACAGGCTTTCGCCCGCATCACCCCAAAACCCTATTCTAATTATTACGGCCCCTATATTAGGCTTTTTTTTCAGGTTTAAGGGCTTGTGGGGATGAGGGTTTAAGGATTTAAGGTTCTAGGGTTTAGGACTTAATCCCCAAAACTTGGAACACGGGTTTAGGAGGATTGCTGCTAGGATCCCTTATACTTTACCTCATTTTGGGTCCGAGGGCTTCGCGCAGAGTCAAAATTGAATCAATGGTTGTTTTTTGCATCACAAAGCAAAGAAGGTAATATAGAAGCTTAAATAACTACCAATATTACTGTTAGGGCTCCTTATTAGAATTATAGTATAATATACCCGCATTTAGAGTCGGGTGTTTTGTTGAAGCTGAGACTCGAAACTTCGATTGCGTATTTAACAGGGTCGTTTGGGTTTAGGGTTTAGGGAGGGTTTAGGGGTTATGGTTGTTCATGGAACATGTGCATGTTTGGTCGCGAGTGTGCCGGAAGATTAGATGGTTCATCACTGTTCATCACGACATCAGCGGTAAAGGGCACAATCAGCATGCTGCTGCCAGAGCAGGCAGTTGGACGCCTTATCGTGGTACCTCTATGTACGATTGGCATGGACAACAGTAGGAGATGCCAGTGAGCTATTGTCGTTGGTCGATCTCTGCCATTCCCGTTACCATTACAATCGCCAAGCTCACGCAATAGACCACGAGATTTGGGTGGCCCCTAGGTAATCCTGATCAGCATCGTCATCCTGATCATCGAAGTCATCCTGACCTGGTTCATCCAGTCGCCTTCACCTTGAAGATGGTCATCATATGATTGTCTTTTTGTTGTGTGAGCATCTTCATCTTTACCCTCACCATCGCCATAGTTGTAGTCATCATGAGCGTGATTATGTGCTTAATGACATCATCATCACCACCATCATCAGCAGAAACAACGACATCATCATCATCTTCTTCATCTTCTTCATCATCATCATCATCGTGGTTGCCATCTCCAACATTACCATCATCATCATCGTCGTCATCCCAATCATCATCATCATCAACAACATTGTAAGTCATGAGCAAGCCTCACGAAGCTGGTTGTCAGGTTCCAAATACTTCCCTCTGACGTATGGCGGTGGCCCGTCAAAAGAGCTCAGAGTTTAGCCTTCCGGGTTTGAGGTTTGGCAGGTTTTAGTTGCCCTTGTAATAAGGAACCCTTCAATTGAGGGCGCTGTATCCGGGTTCAGGGCCTTGTGTGTTAAGATAATAGGGCCCGGAATGGTCCGGACAGTGGGTTTGGATTCTGTGATTTGCAGTGCAGGTTATCTAAGCCGTCAGCCTCTTCATAATGAATTCTTAACAGCCCCAGGTACAAGCCTTCAACCTACATCCCAAACCCTCAACCCTAACCTTAAACCCCTACACAGCCAACGCCAAACTCTAAGCCCTCAAAACCTCAGCTCCCGTTTGAGGTTCCTTACTACGGCTTTTTGAATCCAGAAACGCCAGGATCTTCTGGGGGCCAGAGGCAAGTAAAGTAATCTAACCCAGGTCCCAGTCAAACTTGGGGAGACTATCCCTAAACCCCTAATCCCCTAAA